TCTTGGCCAAAGATCCTACGTGTATGTTATTCATATCCTCATTGGTTAAGAGGGTGAAACTCCCCTCGACATATGCCTATATAATATCTGTATTTCTATGAATAAATTGAAGTATTGAGGATACATTTGACTGTGTGTTTTCTTACTTCCCGGCCGTCTACACTTTAAAGTAACTGAGAATTCTTCAAGGTGGCAAAGAGAATTTACTGAGGGACCAAATTGTTATTCTTTATTAACAAATGACAAAGTATTTCACACAAATAAATAAATATTTAATACAAAATATAATAAAAAAAGGCAGTAAACACTGTAACCAACAGGGCACTCAGTATTCTGGGAAGTTTGTGTGCATTGGGATTTGGGAATCATATTTTTTCAAACAAAGCTATGGTAACATTAATTTTACATACAGCACACAGTGAAAATGACATTACTATGGCAGTGGGCAAATGCATAAAGCGCAGCATAATTTGAAATCACGAGTTTAAAGTTTGTTGATCACGCGTCTCCAGTGAAGCTGAACTCTCCTCCTGTCAGCATTCAATTCACACGGATCGACCGTCACGCAGAGAACACGAGATCATGCAGGATACAAATGTACACTTCACAAGATCTCACAACTGGATCCGACTGAGTTTGCAAGGTTTGTGAAACTAAATGTTCATTAGTCATTCAAAGATTTGTTTAAATGATATAAATGCGTATTTGCTGAATGCTGACGGCAAACAATAAAGTATTATAATGTTTGTCTTTCTATTACTAATAATATAAAAACAATCGTTATAATACTTTGTGTACATTTTAATTCCTTTGTTTAACCGTTCTATCTGATTATTAGATTTCTGTCCGTATTAAGGCCCTTTCACACGGGACGTGGCAAGCGGTGGAATCGCTGCGCGGCTGCCGCTTTCTCTTGTGGAAGCGTTTTGTGCACTGACGGTGGTCGTGTTGCGGTCTCGGAGCGGACGTTGCCATAGTTACAATTGTCAACATCACCTTTGTATTTATTAAAAACTAAATAAAACATAACGGAAATTTGTGTTTGTGTCATTCTGCCATTAATTGTTGTCATTATTAACCTTTATTTTTCCTTTGGCACAAGTGAAATTGTGTTTGATGATTTGCCTAAACAGCATACCTGTGAGGTTATGATTGAATGAATTATTTTATTTATGTCTCTGTATGAGATTTTAGATGGGTCATACAGTTCTGGGAAATCTATTACACTTAAAACAATCTTCTCCTCTATTTTTTCAATAGGTAGTTCAGTTAAATGTTCACTGACTGGTTGAAACCGATGCGGCTCTCTGGCGGCGCCTGCCGCGAAGCGCCGTGCACGTGGAAACGGCAGGATTTTGGGTGCACGAGCACCGCTTGCGCTCTGCCTCCGCGCTGCCAGCGAAACCGCCCGCGTTTTGCCACTTTCCGGATGTCTCCCATTGAGAATGAACTAGACACTCGCGACTGCCGCGTACCGTGTGAAAGGGCCTTTAGACAGAACTGTTAACGACGACAGCGAACAAGAGGGCGAATGTGAGCACTGTGTGCTCAGGCGCTGCCGCTCTCAGCGCCTTGAAAATAAAAGTCTGGCGCACCATCAAAATAAAAGTCCCACCTCGAATGCATCGGCCAAAGAGGAAAACGTATCGACCAATGCCAATATTTAAAAAATGCCAAATATTGGCCGATATATCGGTCGACCACTAGTTTTAATCATAAAACACTACCGCTAGACGACACTTTCCCTATCCTTAACAGATGCTCGTGTTGTGAGATAAAACAGTAATAAAAGATATCAAAAAACAAGGCCAGAAACAAACTGCACAATTGGCACAGAGTGAGTGGGAGGAAGGCAGAAATAGTGAGTGTGTGTGTGTCTATTGGCTGGGAGCATCAGTGCAGACTGTTTGTCCACCTGTACAGCAGTGATAAAATCCTCCTCTCATTTTGCTGTGGAGAGAGAGAGAGAGAGAGCAGAAATCAGGAGCAGTACTGCCTCAGAGGAGCAGAACGCTCCAACACTCATTCCAATTCCACACACATTAGTGCTCCACCTCCCCAACTCTCCACTATCTACCTCACTCTCAAGACAAACTCTTTTTTTTCCCCCCAGTGTTCCTCTCTCTTTAGCCCTCTACATTCAATACACTGTGCAGGCTGAAATAAAGATTCATTGAACTGCTTGATTACATGACTTCACGTCATTGGTTACCTTCATGGTTTACATTTAGACAGTTAGCAGATGCTTTTATCCAAAGCGACTTACAAATGAGGACAATGGAAGCAATCAAAATCAACAAAAGAGCAATTATATGCAAGTGCTATAACAAGTCTCAGTTAGCTTAATGCAGTACACGTAGCAAGGTTTTTTAAAAATCATATAACAAATTAAAGCTGCAAGCAGCGATGAAAGGGCCCTCACACCCAGGCTCACCGCCACCCGCTGGCTTTAGGAAAACAGCAATATGCATTTAAAGTGGTAAATATAGGAGGACTATGTCAGTCCTTTATATGTGCCAAACTTCCTGCTACCAGCTGGTGGCGCTATGATTATAACCGAATGTTGGCATGTAGATGTCTTCAGGCCAGGACTTTTATCAAACATGTGAAGTCTGATGCAGATAGAATAGAAAAAGAATCTAGTTAGAAGCTAGTGTTAGATGCCTTTTTTGCTTTTGTTAATCAGAAGTAGTCAGAAAGCCAGAATTATAATTGTATAATAAATAAAAAGGAAAACAAATAGATAGAATGCAAAAAGATTAGAGAAGCAAGTGTATTTTTTTAAAGAAAACAAGCAGTTAGTAAATAAATAGTGTGCGAGTCTTAAAGGGGCAAGTTTTTTTTTTATATAAAGAATAGAATTAGAATAGAAAGTGCTAGAGTTAGAGGGTCAAATAAAGATGGAACAGGTGTGTCTTTAGCCGATTCTTGAAGATGGCTAAGGACTCAGCTGCTCGGACTGAGTTGGGCAGGTCATTCCACCAGGTGGGAACATTTAATTCCGAGAAAGTGATTTTGTGCCTCTTTGAGATGGCACAATAAAGCGTCGTTCACTTGCAAAATGCAAGCTTCTAGAGGGCACATAAGTCTGAAGTAATGAATTTAGGTAAAGGGGTGCAGAGCCAGTGGTGGTTTTGTAGGCAAACATTAATGCCTTGAATGTGAGCAGCTATTGGTAGCCAGTGCAAACTGATAAACAGAGGTGTGACGTGCATTCTTTTCGGCTCGTTAAAAAAGTTCTGGATTAATTGTAAAGGTTTGATAGAACTGGCTGGAAGACCTGCCAAGACAGCATTGCAATAATCCAGCCTGGACAGAACAAGAGCTTGAACAAGGAGTTGTGAAGCATGTTCAGAAAGAAAGGGCCTGATCTTCTTGATGTTGAATAAAGCAAATCTGCAGGACCAGGCAGTTTTAGCAATGTGGTCTGAGAAAGTCAGCTGATCATCAATCATAGCTCCAAGGTTTCTGGCTGTTTCAGGAGTTATGGTTGATGTGCCTAACTGGATGGTGAAATTGTGATGAAACAATGGATTTTATGGAACCACAAGCAGTTCTGTCTTGGCAAGGTTGAGTTGAAGGTGATGGTCCTTCATCCAGCAAGAAATGTCTGTTAGACAAGCTGAGATGCAATCGACAACCATTCAAACATCAGCACCAAAATTCTGTTAAAACTCTATGAAGTCACTTAACAGAACTGACCTTCACACAGCTGCATTGCTGAGCTTCTGTCCTATTTTACCACTTTTCTTACCACAAGCTAATCACGATTTTTCAAAGCATCCTAACCTCAAAAAGATGTGAAGTGCAGCATTTGTTTGCATTTGTTTTCATGAATCCTAAAAGAGACCCTGAAAGTTTTTTGAGCTGCTGCCAGACTATAATGCTTTAAAATAGTGTCTATCAGAGTATGTGAGCGGAGCGGAGCGGTGTGATTTTGAATGGAGCGAGGAGCGGATTTTTTAAAAGTCGGAGCGTCGTGGTTTTCATTCGCTCCAAGAGCGCTCCACCACGAGTACAATTCATGCCAACGACCCATAATATAACTGCACATTTAGCAAGAATTCACGTTAAACATATTTAGCTAGCTTGATAGAGAAGGATCACTCAAATCAGAAAGAGTGTGAAGGCTATGTTGACGGCAATGGACATAGCGGGAAGTTATAGGGTAGTTATTAAGGAATTTGTTTGTTCCCCTACATAAACACTTAAACTAGTCTAACATACACATACACACATGCATAGAGTTGGTATAGGAAAAGGAGTTAAAGTTTAGGCAGTAAAAAGGAGAGAAATAAGGAATGAAGTTATGGAACCATTTGCATATTCAACAGATTTACAGCATGAAGGGAACATCAGATTCTTAGTTCAAAACACACCTTTGAAAAAAGGTACAAATGATGCCTAAGGTATCAATTAATAGATTACATATAGGTATGATGACAGGAATGAATGGTTCCATCATAAGCCTGCATAAAACAGTATAAAATCTCAAAGACAACATACACAATCACCTGAAGGATATGTGTGTTCATTCAAAGAAAGGTTTTCCTATGAATTAATTAGAGAAGAGTCCATTTTTACTGTGCATTGTGTCTCTTCTATGGAAAGTGTAGTGAGAGGGGTAATTCTCAACATGCCATTAGGTCGTAAATGTATCTGGTGTCAGGGCTGCCATGGTAACCAGGGTCCTGGGCCTTGTTCACAGACAACTTGGCACCCAGTATGTTTATTGGGTGAGGGGTCTGTGAACGTTTGTTAATCTAATGAATAATTGATTTGTTAAATCAAATGAAAAATGGTGTGTCTGGTCCAGACGCTATACAGTGCTAAGTCTGCATCCGATTTCGAATGAGCAGAAATCTGTAAGAAATGCAGTGATCCGTAGGTAAAATAACTGACGAAAACGTACTGTTATTTCCATCACAAACAAAATTTGCACTGCAAAAAGCATCAATAGCCTACCTTTTAATGCTGACAACCATGTTATTAGCTTGTCATGTGGTAGGAAAAAAGTTTGCACACTAGTGTTCCAACAATCCACTTTGAAACGCTCCTGTCATTTTATTTATTTTCTTTTAATACACATTATGAACAGAACTGTGATATTTCAAACATACTGAATACTTTAACCGCGGAGCGGTGTTTCTGATATCAGTGAGCGAGGAGTGGAGCGGAAGCGGGAAATGATGAACCCGGAGCGGAGCTGGAGCGGAGTGATTATTAAATGCTCGGAGCGCGGAGGGGAAAGTGTTGCCGCTCCACTCCGCTCATATACTCTGGTGTCTATATAGGCAGAAGATAATATGTTGAGTGCACAAGACAATATGACGAAGAAGAACAACAACAACAACACCATGTCAAATTATTCAAATGTACAGCTTGTTTCAAGGTTGGCTTGAATGACAGTTTTCTTGAGAGACAAGGACATTTATATCTATGGACTAATGGACAACTGTCTCGTTTTGGTCTTGTTTCCATGGCAACTTGGCACTTTGTTTTGTTTTTTTTAAATGAGTAATTTGCTCGCTCATCTTCAGCCCTGTTACCTAGAACTAGATTTAGCCAGTGAACCATTAAAGGTGTAATGACAGGGAAGTGATGTTTCATCAGAAGCAAATGGGACAATTTTGCTCTATTAGCTAAGGCAAAGAGGCGAGTCGGTCCACTACAGATCAGCGTTTTTTGCTCTGCTATTCAGCGGTGGAGCTGAATCTACACAGCACCACATCAAAAGAAAGAATATTTTACACTAGTTAAAATGAGTTAAATGGGGTGATTACTTCTCTTGCAGTGTCTTCGTGGATGAACACAACAATAAAATAAACACGTACAAAATACGACTTAAGAGGAAATTTCGTATAATTACTGACTTCTTGTTTATATGACAGACTGTGGATTTCAGGAGGAGGATGTGACGAGGGAACTGGGTAAAGCATTAAGTATGAAGTCTAGGTTGACAACGCAAAGTCCTCATTTATATCACGTCAACTGCAGTGGACAAAGTCAGGACAAATACGAGTTATAGGTAGAGATGCACCGATTGATCGGCCAGGGATCGGAATCGGTCGATTTTCCTCATGATCGGCCCGGATCGGTGATCGGCCGGTTAGTCTCACTTCTTTCCGATTTCAAACCAATCCGTTTTGTTACCAGCAGCACAGGCAATAACGTCAGCCGTGCATTCTCGCTCTCTTCTCTCTGACAACCCCTTCTCTCACACACACACACACACACACACGTCTCATTCGCGCCGGTTAAATAGTGCTTTTATTGCGCATTATTTTAGTAATTCCCGCAGGTTTTTTACCAAATGCGCACACCACCACTGATCTATCAGTTGAGCGCATAATCCGTGCTCAGTCTCAAACAGCTTGTGAGCCACAAATACCAAAATGAGTGGCTAACTGCACTAAAACGGTCAAATACATACAAAATTATGCCAAAATGCCCATCTTAACGAGTATCCAGTTAAACAGTCAGTTTTGGAACGTTAAATAGTTGAGAAAGAGAATGCAATACGCATGTTGTGTAACAGTATATTGGGTCTGTGGATTAACTCTTAAAGGGACCGCAGTCCAATATTCCTGCTGCTGTCTGTCATGTTAATCAAAGAACAAAAGACAAAAAAAAATCACTTTCTGCTCTTGACTGAATACGTTTTAACTTTAATGGTAAGCATTCATCTGTATTTAATTTTTACAATGAACTGGATGTGTTATTTTACATTTGATTACGTTAATTTCTGTAGTATTTCTTACCTGAATAAAAACGGACTTAACCTGAAAAACTTAGTTTCATAGCTCTCTTTATTCTATTGTAGTTATTTGTGCTGTTGTTTGCAATTTTCTTTTGTTCTTATTTTATTACTGACTTTTTACTTGTGTTTTTTAAATGAAAATAAAACTTTGCGTTGAAGTAGATTTTTGTTTGTATATGCTGTCAATTATAGTTCTTAGAAAGAAAATCGTAATCGGCAAGAATCGGTATCGGCAAAAACATCGGAATCGGCAAAAAACATTACAATCGGTGCATCTCTAGTTATAGGCCTGTTCAGGATAGGCCTGAACAGTCGTATTTATAGATGAAAAAATATATAGTTCAGGTTCAATGAGAATCTTAGAGGCTTTTCAGTATGCACAGACACTGAGAGAAAGGCGTGACTCTGTGAAAGGTGGTTGGACACTGAGCTCTTTTGTAAAAGCACAAACAATAGCTGCCTCATTTCTGCCTAAATTACCCCACATGTGAGGACAAAAGCTCTGAACTACCACACAAAGATAACTGCAGAGCTGTCAGAACAGTAACGCACAACACTACTGGATGAGAAGAGTGGAGGGCCTAAACACTATTGATGATGGAAAAGTTTAGTTGTCGAAAATAACTGAACAGAAAACTGCAAGTTATTTACATGTTTTCATATTCTATATCCATTATCCACAGAACTTGCAACAGCCTGTAATTACACCTCTTTTATTGCAGCCACCATCACATCACATCACATATATAATCAGCTGACCTGTTTTATTAAACTGAGCTTGCTCTCATTTGACATCCAAAAGGGAAAATCCTCAAAACTTTTGTTTCCACAAATAAGCAAATTTATTTTCAATGGTTACTGCCTACATAATAGAAACACTACACTGAAAAAAAATGATGTAGAAACAATTTTCAGTCAGAAATTGCTAATACATTTCACAAAAAATTACAAAGAAATAGCAAGAACACATTGAAGTAAAGGAGCACAAAGACTGAAATAGTATTTCCTTGTAAAACGTATGTAAAATCTTTGTTTTATTTAGAGTGTAGAGTTATTTATTTACAGTGTATAATCCATCAGGGAGTATTCAGAATAAATGATCATATAAGAGATTATACACACTTGACCAACAGTATCAAAGATTCAGCCTTGGACCACATTGTAAGGTCACCACAACAGCATAGCACATACAGTTAAAAAATTCAGGGTTGGTAAGATTTATTTATTTTTTGGTCTCTCATGTTAACCAAAGCAAAATTTATGTTATTAAAAATACAGTAAAACTTTATTTAAAATAATTGTCTTCATCTTTAATATATTTTAAAGTGTAATTTACATATATAATTTATTCCTGTAAAGGCAAAGCTGAATTTTCAGGAACCATTACTCATATCTTCAGTGTCAAATGGTCCTTCAGATCATTCTAATATGCTGATTTGGTGCTCAAGAAACATTTCTTATTATAAAATGGTTGAGACATTTTTTTGTGGAAAATGTAATATATATTTTTTTATGATACTTTGATCAAATAGAAAGTTCAAAACAACAGCATTTATTTAAAATAGTAATACCATTCTGCAACAATGTTTGGGACCAGTTTGAGGCAACAGAGTTCAAATTTTATTTTATGAACATTCATCAACACAAAATGAGAATAATGAAAACCTGTTCATAACAATAATGATAAAAAAACCTGTCTGTTCATACCACTACTCAAGTCTTTCAACAGAAAAAAATATATAAATCTCCACTGTTTGCAAATATAAAAAGGGCACAAAGAGTTTTCAGTTCTGAATACTATGCTGACTGATGCACAACAACTCTATTTCTCAGCTCAGCCAATACAGGAATACAGGAATAGTTAACCATTTAGAACATAATCAGGTTGTGCGAGTTTCATGTGAGTGTAACGATACACGTATTCGTATTGAACCGTTCGGTACGAGGGTTTTGGTTCAGTACGATTCGTTGGACTAATCCTATTACATTTGGAAACTAAAATAAAGTGTGTGAAATATAATGTTCTCAGTGCCACTGCGCTCAACAAGGCAGCCCAAACGAAGTAACAGTCCCCAAAGAAAAACACACTGCTCCAGTCAGGCATAGGCTGGACTAAATCTAGAGCTGGACAATAATTTAATATCAATATATATGGCAATATAATTTTTTTCAATAACGGTGATCTGATTTTTAAACACATTTCCGATATTTTGATACACAGTGTTTCCCATACATTGATTTATTTGTGGCGTTTGACTTCGTTGACTAAACATGAGCACTGCACGTTTCAAAATCAAAACGCAGCGCATGTGTTTTATATGAATGTCTTTGAAAGGAACCAACTGTCTTCAGAAAAGTTACAATGGCATACTACCGCTCCAGAAGCGCCTCCTGCTGGCAGAGAATGAGCCCGTCTCTAGAAACACGTTTCTGTTGTTACTCACTCTTTGTTTTTGTTTTCTGCAGCAATTCTGAGCACTTTTCATATTCTTTATCCTGGTTGAAGCCCTTTTCTTTCAATCAATAAGAATAACCAGCCTATATTATGGTTTAAAGCTAAACATATTAATATTATTAAGGTGAGCCTGAGAGTCTTTTACATTTATTTGACCGTGATTTCACAT